AGTCCCCAGCACCCACATCAGACAGCTCACAGTCACCTGTAACTCCAGCTCCAGGAGATCTGACGCCGTCTTCTGAACCTTGAAGGCACACGTGCATGCATACAGGGAAACTCTATACACATTAAATAAAATACATAAATAGTTTTAAAAGAAAATAATTTTGTGCTTTGTTTTGAGGCAGGCACTATAAGAGTGTAGGCTAACCTCAAACTTTCTGTGTAGCTAAGGGAATCAGATACTTTTCTCATTTCAGTGATTACAAGTTCAAGGCCAGCCAGGCTACATGGTAAATTTTGAGACCATTTGAGACATACAGGGAAACTCCATCTCAAAAACAAGAATTTTTAGAGAATAGCATCTTATCAAATACAGACTATCCATAAAGAGACTGAAATCCTAAAAAGAGAACCCAGTAAAAATTATGGAACTGAAGTGCTAAACAACTGAAATAAAATTTCTAAGGCGTGGTGTGGCATGGCGCGCGCCTTTAATCCCAGCACTCGGGAGGCAGAGGTACACAGATCTCTGAGTTCTAGGTCAGTCTAGTGTACATAAAGATTTCCAGGTCAGCCACAGCTACATAGTGAGACCCTATCTCAAAAAAAAAAAAAAATTCAAAGGGGCCCCACAGATCCCAGCAGACTGATGCAAACATCGTGGACTGGTAAGATTAAGATGGCTCAGTGGTAAAGGTACTTGCTGCCAAGCCTAAAGACTGAAATTCAATCCCTGGGACTCATGTGGTGGAAGGAGAGAACAAACTCCTGCAAGTTGATCTCTGACAGCCACACGTACTATGGCATGCATACACCGACACTGACAGATTCACACAAAATAAATGGATGTTACAAGAAAACCAAAGGGTAAGAACTATAAAAATTACACATGAAATCAGGGAGAAAATAGAGCACATACCAACGGGTCATAACAAACATTTCTAGAACATTCTACCCATTAACAGCAGGGTAGAAATTCTTCCCCAATGTGCATGGCACTTTCCCCCATGCGAATTATTTGGCAGGCAATAAAACAAGTCTCGGTAAATTTTAAAATACTGAAACTGTACCAAATATGTTTTCTGACAATGGCAAGAAATTAGAAATTAATAACAGAAGGATATTTAGAAAATTCACAAATGTATGGAAATTACAACACTCTCCTATACCATCACTCCTGAGAAGAAATCACAAGACAAGTTAGAAGTACTTCAAGATGAATGAATACAGTGAACAGCAGACCAGAATTTACTGGATGTCCTCAAGGAAGAGCCTAGGGTTGAACTGACAACTGGGAGACCTCAGATCTGTAACCTAACCACCACCTTGAAATGAGAGAGAGAAAACTAAAAGGTTGTGTATGGTAGCACAGGCCTGCAGCTCCAGGATGCTGAGGCAGGAGAGTCGGAGGGTCATGAGTTCAGGTCAGCCTGGGCTTTATAACAACGTCCAGGTTGACCTAGAGTTCAAAAACATAAATAAATAAAACAAAAAGAAGTAAAACTGAAATGAAAAAAAAGGAAGAGAGAAGGGAAGGGAGGGAAGGAGGGAGGGAGGGAGGAAGAAAGGGAGGAGGACAGGAAGTGGAAAGGGAAGCGGGAAGGAAGGGAGGCCTGGGCTATAAAGTGAGCCTCTGTCTACAATACAATGCAATGCAATACAATACAATAACAAAACACATGTCTGACTCATATTCCTATTGGTTAGCATTTAGAAATGCAAACTAGGGGCTGGGAAGAGAGAAAGGAAGCGGGAAAGGAAGTCAAGAGGGAAGGGAAGGGAGAGGAAGGGAGGGGAGGGGAGGAGAGGGCAGGGGAGGGGAAGGGAGGGCAGGGGAGGGGAGGGCAGGGGAGGGGAGGGGAAGGAAGGCAAGAGGGAAGAAAAGAAACCTCAGAGATAAAAATCAAGGGGTTGGAGAGATGGCTCAGCAGTTAAGAGCACTGACTGTTCTAGCAGAGGACCTAGGTTTGGTTCCCAGCACCCACATGGTGGATAACAACCATCCATAATTCCAGTTCCAGGGGATCCTACACCCTCTTCTTACTTCTCAGGCATTGCACAACACAGGTGCACTTACATACATGCAAGCAAAACAGTCATACACATAAAATGAAAATAAGTTTTTTTAAGACAAAAATCAAGAAACTGAAGAAACAATCTACACAGTAGAATACTTGAAAATCCAGTATTTGACAAGAGTCAGTATGTAGAGCTCACAAGCTGATCTTCGTTCCAAATAAAAAAAAAGAACAATCCAGGTTTTAAACAGGTAAAAGATAAGGATGCACATTCTGCACATAAGATAGATACACGGTCCCCGAGCACACTCAGGGCCTCCATCATCAGAGACACACAAATCAAAACCACAGGGATGTTGCCTCCCACCAACCAGGGTGACTGTGCTCAAAACGACACACAAGTGTTGCTTAAGACATCAAGAGACTGGAATGTTCATTTGTGTGTTGCTGGTGAGAGTGTGAGGAAGGCAGGTGCCGTGGCACATGACTTAGTGTCTCAGATCCTCACTAAGCTAAACACAGAGCTGTCCTCTGACCCAGCAACAGCACAACTGTGTATATATGTTTCCATGGAATTAAATATTCATATAAAAATCGTATATGAATTTTCATAATGGTGTTATTTATAAATAACAAGGAAATTTAAATAATAGTAGTATGAAACAACCTGTCATAGCCCATTTGGGGTTGTTTAATAGAACACTACAGACTAATTTATAATGAACAGAAATGTACTCGGCTCCCAATTTGGGAGGATAAAAGGCCCCTAGGGCAGGGTGCCTACATCTGTGCTGCATCTGTGAGAACTTTCTTGTTGAGTTATTCCATGATAGAAGGAAGAAGGGCAAGCGCGCAGGAGAGAGAGAGAGAAACTCAAATTCACGGTCTGAAAGGCTGCTTTGTGTATATGTTTGTGTATGGAGGCCAGAGGACAACCTTACCTGTCATTCCTAAGACGGCCTTTGTCCTACTTATTCTCTTGCTCCTCTAACCTGTGCACAGCCTGCATTTTTTTTTTTTTTTGGTCTCTCTGAGACAGGGTTTCCCTGTAGCCCCAGCTGTCCTGGAACTCACTATGTAGACCAGGCTGGCCTTGAACTCACAGAGATCTGCCTGCCTCTGCCTCCCAAGTGCTGGAATTAAAGGTGTGTGCCACCATGCCCAGCTTTAGTCTGTTTTCTTGTACAACCCAGGCCCACTTGCCCAGGGGTAGCACCACCCACAGTGGGCTGGAGCCTCACACATCACTCAACAATCAAGAAAATGCCCCACAGATATGCCCACAGGTCAATCCAATGGAGGAAATTCCTCAACTGAGATTCCCTCTACCCTGGTGTGTCAAGTTGACAACTAAAGTTATCCAGTACAGCATCCATCTTCTATTTTTGAAATAGGGCCTCTCACTGGTCTGGAGTCTTCCAAGAAGGCTAGGCTGGATGGTCAGTGCGCACCAGAGATCCAACCTGACTATGAAAGTCCTTTAAGACAAAATGGCCAAAAGAATTAAATGCTTAAGAGAGGGATGTTGCCCAGTGGTAGAGCACCAGCCTAGAATCCCCCAGTGAGGGGCTGGAGATGTGGTTCAGTGTTAGAACACCTGTCTAGAATCCCCGGTTGGGGGGCGTGGCTCAGTCGTAGAGCACCTGCCCAGAATCCTTTAGTGAGGGGCTTGGGGTGTGGCTCAGTGGTAGAGCACCTGCCTAGAATCCCCCAGTAAGGGGCTAGCAGTGTGGGTCAGTGGTAGAGCACTTGCTTAGCACAAGGCTGTGAGTCCCATCACCAGTACAAAGGAAAGAATGTACTATACTTTTTAAGGTAATTGTTTAAAGCAAAGATTAGTAGTCATGACTGCATCTTTACAGCATGTATAAAAATAAAAAGGAATGGTTATCAGGTGTGTTAGTACACACTTGCAATTCCAGTACTCTGGGGGCTGAGGCAGGAGGATCATGAATTCAAGTCCAGTCTGGGTTACAGAGGAAGATCCTGGTTCAAGAAACAGAGGATTAGAGAGATTGCTCAGTGGTTAAGAACACCGGCTGCTCTTGCAGAGGACATAGCAGCTCACAAGCGTCTGTAAATCCAGTTCCTGGGATCTAGTGCCCTCTTCTGGCTTGCATGGGCATTGCATTCACATGGTACACTTACACATTAAAACATTTTGTTAAGACATGAAATTGGAGGGTAGGGAGATGTTACTGGATCTGGAAGGAGTTGGAGGGGGAGTTGAGACTGAATATGGTCAAAATACATTGTATGACAGTCTCAAATAATTAAATTTTTTTATATTTTACTTATTTTTATTTTATGTGTATGAGTGTATTGCCTGCATGTATGTGAGTGCACCCGTGTCATGCAATGCTGCAGAGGTCAGAAGAGGGCTTCGGATTCCCCTGGAACTGGAGTTAAGGACAGTTCATGGCCACCATGTGGGTGCTGGGAATTGAACGCAGGTCATCTGCAAGAGCAGTCAGTGCTCTTAACTGCTGAGCCATCTCTCCAGCCCCAAGAAAAATATTTTTAAACTCTGAGTTGTGAAACAACACTGTGAGTCGCTAATTGCTTGAACCGCAAACTCTGCACATGACTGATGAGAATCAAAAATGATGCAGCCACTTTGGAGAACAGATTAGTAACTAAAATAATTAAAACAAAGGAACATCACCAAAAATGATGGCGTGAGGAATTCTAAAAATGTTTCCCTCTTCTAAAGACAGCCATGGCTAACCCAGCTGGCCAGCTGTGCCAGGCTCCATTTTATTTTGGAATGGTGAGTGTTAATAAAAACATTACAGTAATCAAGTGTGTGCTTAATTAAGAAAGATGTCTTGTTTCAGTTGAGCGTTCTGGGACTTTTTAACCGTCTGCCATAATATCCCTGCCTTTCGCCTCTTCTCTGCTTTGCATGTGGTTGTGATAGTGCTGCTTGTGTCCCTGGTTGGGTTTTTGGGGATGGGAGGGGGCAATAAAGACTCGTTGTTGGTTTGGGGGTGTGGCTTAGTTGGTAGAGCACTTGCCTAGCATGCAAGAAGCCCTGGGTTCTATTCCCAGCACCACATAAACCAGGCATGGTGGTGTATGCAATAAATCACAGCACTTAGGAGGCAGAGGCAGGAGAATCATGAGTTCAAGGTCATCCTTGGCTATGCAGAGAGTTTGGGGCTAGCTTGGACTACATGAGACCCCATCTCAAAACAAGCAAACATATTATTTTTCCGAATTATAGTCTTCATTTTTAAGTTATTTGGGGGGGGGCATGCCACATGAGTGCAGTGCCTTTGGGGGCCAGAAAGAGCATTGTTGGATCCTCTGGAGTCACAGGTGGTTATGAGCCACCTGATGTGGGTGCTTGGAACCAAATCAAGGTCCTCTGGAAGAGCAGTAAGTACTCTTAACCACCAAGCCATGTCTCCAGCCTCCCAAATGATTTGTATACACTCACAATGAGCAATTTAAAAATGAAATTAATTCCAGTCTGCTTTCCTATCTGCAATAGTATTGAATGGAATCAAACCAATACAGTCAAGGAAGGTGGTCAGTGGTAGACTGCTTGTCTGTTATGTGTAAGGCCCTGGGTTCAGTCCCCAGAAGCACACACACAAAAGAGCTATGCCTTCTACTGCTTTAAATATTGCCTTAAGCAAGCATAAAAAGTTATTCTTTTTTAGGAGCTGGAGAGAAGGCTCAGAGGTTAATATCACTGGCTGCATTTGCAGAAGACCCAGGTTTGGTTCCCAGCACCCACATGGCAGCCAACAACCATTCCTAACGCCAGTTACAGGGGATCTGGCACCCTCTTCTGGCCTCCATGGGCATTGCATGACAAGTGTGTACTTAACATATGGGCAGGCAGAACACTAATGTACATACAATAAAAATAAGTGAGTTTTAAAAATTAAAAAACTTGAAACTCTAGTTGAGGGCTTGTCTGTTACCGTGATATGAGCTATCAAGTCTGAAATTATTTTCTTCCATTCTAGGTAAACAAGTAGGGAAAAACTGGTATGGGTGTCCCACTGTCAGAGAAGGGAATCACACAGGAGAGAAGGCTAGATGTATAATGCCTCACTGGATGGGAATTGGACACATCAATATGAACTGTCAGGTGTGTGTGCGTGTATGTGTGGGTAGAGATTATGATGGGGTCAAAATTTAAAGAATTAGCTGACCCACTGCCCATTTCCCTCCATTCACTTTGGGCCCTTGTCGGATTGAGTTGGCATGGGTCCTGGGCTTGATGCCACCATTGCCACAAGTTCACATGTGCAAGCTCCCAGTGGCCTGAAGCCTCTGCTTCCCTACGTCCATGGACCAATCCTGGCTCTTACAATCTTTCCGCCCCCTCTTCTGCAACAGTCCCTGAGCCATGGACGGGTAAAATTTAATGTAGAGTCCTATCCAGGGACACACACTCTGCAGTCTCTTAGTCTCTAAAACTTGGCCAGTTTTGACCTTCTGTGTGTGATATGAACTGTTGGAGACTGATTACTACTGGATGAGGGAGAATAGACCTTACTTACAATCTCTAGATAGGCTGACTAGGCTCCAGTGGATGAATTCCGGCTACAAATGCTTGACTGGATGGGACTTAACATGCATGGTGAAATGCATGAGGTCTGGTGGGGGCTGTGGGGGGGCCTGAATGGGGGAGGGGATCTAAATTTAAGAACTGCTGTATGAAATGTACAAAAATTCAAATTTTTTTTTAGATTTAAACAATTAGTCTGGTGTGATGGCCCAAACCTTTAATCCCAGCACTTGGAGGCAGAGGCAGGTAGATCTCTGTGAGATCGAGGCTGGCCTAGTCTACACAGCAAGTTCCAGACCAGCTGGGGGTACAGGGAGACCCTGTCTCAAAAAAAACAAAACTAAACTAAAAATATTTTTAAACAATGAATCTACATTTAAAAACATTACAGGACTGGAAAGATGACTCAGCGGTTAAGAGTGTTTGCTGCTCTTACAGCGGACCAGAGTTGGTTCCCAGCATACATGTCAGGTGGCTCATAATCATCTGTAACTCCAGCTCCAGGGCACCCAACACTGTCTTGTGGCCTCTGTAGGTTCTTGCACACAGGTGGCATACATAGATACATGTACACATAAATAATAAAGTAACATAAAATTCTTATTTATTCATTCATTTTATGTGTATGAGTGTTTTTCCTGCATGCATGTAAATGCACCTGTGTTGTGCAATGCCTCTGGAGGTCAGAACAGGGCATCGGATCCCTGGAACTGGAATTACAGGTGATTGTGAGCCATCATGTGAGCACCAGGAATCGAACCTGGATCCTCTGCAAGAGCAGCCAGTGCTCTTAACCACTGAGCCATCTCTCCAGTCCCAAGGTAAAAAATTTTTTTAAATATTTTATTTATTTTATGTGTATGAGTGTATTGCCTACATGTATGTGAGTGTACCCATGTTGTGCAATGCTGTGGAGGTCAGAAGAGGGCTTCAGATTCCCCTGGAACTGGAGTTAAGGATGGTTAATAGCTGCCATGTGGGTGCTGGGAATCAAACCCAGGTCCTCTGCAAGACCAGTCAGTGCTCTTAACCACTGAGCCACCTATCCAGCCCCACAAGATAAAAAAATTTTTAAAGGAGACTGGGGATGTTTCTTAGTTGGTAGAGCACCTGACTGGCATGCAGGAAGCCCTGGGTTCCATCCCCAGAACTGCATAAACCAGGCCTGAGGGTGCCCGCCTGTAACCCCAGCACTGGGGAGACAGAGGCAGGAAGATCAGAAATTCAAGGTCATCCTCTGCTACATAGTGAGTTTGAGGCCAGCCTAGGCTACATGAGGACCTGCCTCAAAATAATAATAGGGGCTGGAGAGATGGCTCAGCGGTTAAGAGCACTGATTGCTTTTGCAGACAACCTGGGTTCAATTCCCAGCATACCCACAAGGCAGCTATGAACCGTCCTTAACTCCAGTTCCAGGGCAATCCGAAGCCCTCTTCTGACCTCTGCAGCACTGCACGACCCGGGTGCACTCACATACATGCAGGCAATACATTCATACATATAAAAAAATAAAAATTAAAAATAAAATATTTAAAAATAATAATTAATAATAATAACAACAGTAATAAGGGATGTGGAGAAACTCAACACACGGCGGTGCCAATGCACACATGCCACTCTGTCACCTCATCCAGAATCAAGAATCTCTGTCACACGGATTTTCCAATCCGGATGAAGCAGTAGCGACCTGGCAGAAAGCAAAAAAGAGGCCAGGCTGGGAGCCAAGACACCTGGGCACGAATTCCAGTTTCCCTCGGCGGCATGTGGAAGTAAAAGATGCGCCCCCTCCTCTGTCCCTGCCGCCCTGTCCCTCCTCTGTCCCCCCCCCTCCCCGCCCATCCACACAGCGAGGTGTGCAGAACCTCGGGCCTCTCTTTCACCACTAGAGAAGATGCCAGAATCACATTGGGCTGGCCAGTGGCTCAGAGACCCAAGGCAGCACCCCCCTCCCCACACCTCTGCCTCCCAGGAGAGTTTCCACTTTCCAAGAAGGAAAGAAGGACTCTCTCTCTGCCCTCCCTGGCCGCCTCTCAGCCCATCTGCTCTCAGCACTCTGGGCCTGCTTTGTCCTAGGGCCAGCGGTAAGCTCGTGATGCAATTTTCCAGCCTGAAGCATCTCTTTAGCCTTGGAACCTCTAGTTCCGTGTCTGTCCAGCCACAGAGGGAACCAACCCGTGCAACCTCAGTCCACAGCTGTGGGGCTCCATGCTGGCCAGACATCACAACTTCCCGTGACTCGGCTAGGACTCAGGTGGACAGAATCCACCTGCTGACTCTTCAGCCGACACCTAACTATTTACATGGAAGGCTTGGAGGCTTCTCTTGCTGGATTCAGTCTCTCCAGAATGGAAAAAACATTCCTTCATTCATTTGACACCTTCTGATTTGAGTGTCTTGAGTTAATGGTGAACACACAGAGATCCAGAGAGCTTACATTCCTGAGATACGAGAATGTACAACTATGTACCAGGGGACGTCCTCTGAAGGTAGGAAACTAAGGAATATTATCATTTTGAGGCCAAAACAAAAGAGAAAGAAGTTTTGATTAAAGGGAACTGGAAGTGCAAAGGCCCTGAGGTCACAGCAAGTTTAAATGCTCAAGATAAGTGCAGCCTAAAAGCAGGGGCAGATGGACAGGTGAACCTGCAAAGGCAAGGACTACTTTTCCTCCCAGCAAGCACTGGTATTCCAGGAACATGTGTGCATTTGCAAAGATACCCTAATAATAGCAGAAAGGTATTCAAAGGACAGTGGGAGCAAGGGGCCTGTGCCCCAGTCTCCCTGCCAAGCACTGTTGTTCTGTGACCCATACCCCACAATGTGCTTTATTGGGATGGTTGGTAAAGGTGCTTGCAGCCAACACTCAAGACTCAGTTCGATCCCCAAGACCCACATGGCACAGGGAGAGAATCAACTCCACAAATAGTCCTCTGACCTCCATACATGAACTGTGCAACACACACACACACACACACACACACACACACACACAAAATAATAAATAATAAATGAATAAATGGATTATATTAAGATTTATTTCACACACTGTAATACTTGCCCATTTAAAGTAGCCAGTTCAAGCTGGACACGGTGACAGATACCTGTATTCTCAGTACTCAAGTAGGTGAGACAGGAGAACCAAAAGTTCAAGGCTGGGCTGGGAGATGGCTCAGTGGGTAAAGGGACTTTCCACCAAGTCTGACAACCTGAGTTGGATCCCAGAACCCACATGGTGGAAGGAGAGAACCAGCTCCCTCAAGTTGCCCTGACCTCCCTGTGTATGCTGTGGCATGTGCACATAAACATACATACACACACAAAAATAATTCTTAAAATGTAATCTTGGGGGCTGGAGAGATAATTCCGTGGTTAAGAACACTGGCTGCTCTTCCCAGTTCAGTTCCCAGCATCCACATGGTTGTTAACAACCATCAGTAACTCCAGTTCCAGGGACTCTGACACCCTCTTCTGACCTCCATGGGTTTTGTATGACATTGGTGCACTTACATACATGCAGGCAATATACTCATACACATAAAATAAAAATAATAAAATATTTTTAAGTGTGATTTTAAAAAATGTTTTAAAGGACTAGGAAATGTAAAGCAATTGTCTAGAATCCCCTAGTGAGGGGCTGGGGGTGTGGCTCAGTGGTAGAGCACTTGCCTAGAATTCTCCAATGAGGGCCTGGGGCATGACTCAGTGGGAGAGCACCTGCCTAGAATCCCCCAGTGAGGGGCTGGGGATGTGGTTCAGGGTTAGAGCACCTGCCTAGAATCCCCCAGTGAGGAGTTAGGGGTGTGGCTCAGTGGTAGAGCACATGCCTAGAATTCCCCCAATAAGGGGCTGGGAATGTGGCTCAGGGTTAGAGCACTTATCTAGCATGTGTCATGCCCTGGATTCTATCTCCAGCAGAGATATGGTAACTTGCAGCTGAGGAGTGCTGTCTCTTTCTTGTGCATGGGGAATTAATTTTAGGACGGTGCTAGGGCTGCCTAAGCCAGTCTTCCCAACTCATAGAGAAAGCTTTCCCAAGAGTGGCATCAACAGACATTGGGGCTACGAGAACAGCGGATCTGAAAGCTGGAGAGAAAGAAACCCAGCGACACAATTTCTGTCTTGGGACACAACCACTCCCTTCATCCTGGCCACCAGGCCAACACATTCCCTGTTTGCTAAAGTCACACTGAGTGAGTTGAAGTCACTTGTGACCAATGCTTGCTGAGCATGGGCTGTGGAAGAGAATTCTGGCATCTGACTGGAAGTTGGAAAAAGGTAGTTCTTAATGCCTCCTCAAGTCAGTATCCTGACTGTCAATGCCCCCCACCAGCCTTCTCCTCTCCACGCTGTACTGTCTCCTTTGCCAGCCCATTCATCCCAGATCCAACCAGGTCACCACTGCTGATGATACAGATGTATCCCCTGTTGTCTGAAAGCCTGATAACAATATTCGTTCCCTGGTTTTGACACACTCCTTGCAGAAATCCGGGTGCCAGGAATGTTACTTTAGATAAATATATAGTAATTTTAAATATATATAAATATATACTTTAAATATGTATAATTGTTTCCTATTTACATATTTATTTATTTGATACTTGAATGGATTAGGAAAAGAGACAATGTCTCATTCATTGCCAAGTATGTTAAGGCAAAGAACTCATGTATTAAATAAATTGAAATCTGTGGTAATAAGAAGTTAAAGGTGTAGAAAGAAAGACCCCAAATGGCCATGAATAGTCTTTAAGCCAAGCTCTGATACTGTGAACGGCAAGGACCAGCACTAATGGAGGATGTCGTGTGATACCATGTTAAGGACACACTGGTGGCATGCATATCACAGCCGAGTCTCTTTCCTCACTTTGCAACTTCATGACATACAGTAAATGACCAGAGAGAACATGGGGCTGCACAAACAGCTGTACTTGAAGTCAAAGAAAACCGGGAGCCCTTTAGTCTGAGGAACTTTAGCAAAGTTACTTATCCACAGCCTCAATTACCCAATCCCACGTGGAGGCCGGAGTCAGGCACTCTTCTAAATATATAATTTTTAAATATGTGTGTGTCTGTGTGGGTTTGTGCATGTGAGTGCAGTGCCGGAGGTGACCAGAAGAGGGCGTCAGTTGCCCTGGAGCAGGTGGCTGTAAACTGCCTAATGTGGGTGCTAGGAACCAAACTCAAGTTCTCTGGAAGAATAGTAAGTGCTTTTAACTGATGAGTCATCTCTCTGGCCCCAGGAATATTACTTTTCCTATTCATTGTTGGAGTAGTCAGCCACTTTCCTGTTGCTGAAGCAGAAAACCCCAACAAAAAGCAACTCTGGGGAGAAAGGGTTTGTTTTGTCTTATATTTTCAGGTCACAGTCTATTATTGAAGGAAATCAGGGCATTAACTCAAGGTATGACTGCTTGCTATTCCACATAGCATTACTTCATACCAAGGAACTCACTTCACAGCCAAAGAAGCACAGCAGAAACCATGGAGGGTGCTGCTTGCTGGCTCATTCACAGGCTCATACTTAGCTAGCTTTCTTACACAGTCCAGGATCACCTGCCTAGGGAATGGTGCTGCCCACTGTGGGCTGGGCTCTCCTGCAACAATTAACAATCAAGACGATCCCCCATAGGCATGCCCACAGGCCAGTTCCTCAATTGATACTCTCCTCTCAGACTCCCGGCTGTGTCAAGGTGACTAACCAGAACAGCCCCTAAACCCAGAATGACCTCTGTGATGGTTCATATTACTGTCAACTTAACAGGATCTAGAATCACAAAAGGCAGAACCCTTTGGGCTTGACTGTGAAGGATAGTCTAGATTAGGTTAATTGAGGTGAGAAGAACCATCCTAAATGTGTGGGTTGTACCACTCCATTATCCAGGGTCCCTGACCAAATGAAAAGGAGAAAGTGAGCTGAGCACCGGCATTCATCTCTCTTTGCTTCCTGACTGTGGATGCCACGTGAGCAGCTGCCTCACACTCCTGCCACCATGCCTTCCCACCATGATGGACTGTGTCCTCAAACTGAGCCACAATAATGCTTCCTTCTTTGATGACCAAAAGTAACTTAGGGGAGAAAGAGTTTATTTCAGTTTACAATTCCAGGTTACAATCCAGGGGAAGTCACTGCAGGAACTTCAAACAGCTGATCATATCACATCCACAGATAAGAGCAGAGAAAAATGAATGCACACATGCTCACTTGCTTCTGCTCAGTTTGTTCTACGCTCACACACTTCAGGACCCTCTGACTAGGGGATGGTGCTTCCCACAGTGGGCTGGGCTTTCCCACATCAATTAAGTCAATCAAGACAATCCCCCACAGACAAGCCCATAGGTCAACCAAATCCCTCACTGACACTCTCTTCTCAGATAATTCTAGATTATGTCAAGCTGACAGGTGAAACCAATCTTCCTTGGCCCTGAATCAAGGCCAATAGGTTGTTGAAGCTGTTGCTTTCAAGTAGGAACCTAAAGAAATGTCTTCTTATGTTGGCCATTTTAGAAAATTTTGGAGATATACAGTCAGTTCATTAGAAAGAAACATCTGGCTTGGCGTGGTGGCTCAACACTGTAACTTGAGAGGCTAAAGCAAGAAGATTAAGAGTTTGAGGTCAATCTGAGCTACATGGCAAAATCCTGTCTCAAGCAAGGGGTCAGGGAAGAAGCCAAAGAAACAGCTGAGTCATAGGTGATAGATATTGACTGATAGTTATTTAAAGTCTTAATAATAAGATTCTGAAATATGCATATAATGTTTCTACATTTCTGATTTAGCTTGGTCATTAAGTTATAATATTAAACCTATTACCAAGATAAAAAGCTGACCATCACAAAAATCTTTATTTTGTGCTAGGAATTTGAATTCAGGGTCTGAGCATGCTAAGAATACATTACACCAGCGAGCCACACCCCCAGCCTGAGAAAGCTCAGCTCATGTGCCTCTACACAGAAGGTGTGATGTACATTCTAGATTCTTCCTGAGATGAAGTTTTGCTTGATTCTTTCCCTGTTCCTGCCCTGTGTTCTCAAACCCTGTTTAGTCGCCCCGAAAGCATTTTTCAAGAGGACTCGCTATATAGACCAGACTGGCCTTGACTCAAGAAACCCACCTGCCTCTTCCCAACAGGTGCTGAGATTACAGGTGTGTACTATCACACTAAGCTAAGAGCATTTTCTTTTCTTTTTAAATAGTTTTATTTATGCTAGATGTGGTGGCACATGCCTGTAATCCCAGCACTCAGAAGGTGGAGGCAGGTGGAGCTCTATGAGTTTGAGGCCAGCCTGATCAACATAGTAAATTTCAGGCCAGCCAGGGCTATATATTGAAATCCTGTCTCAAAAAATCTGCCCTCCCCAAATTTTTATTTATGTGTATGTGTGTATCTGTTTTTATATGTGCATGTGAGTGCAATGCCCAAAGAAGCCAGAAGAAGGTGTCAGATCTCCTGGAGTTACAGGTGGTTGTGAGCTGCCTGATGTGGGTACTGAGTCCTCTGAAAGAGCAGCCAGTGCTCTTAAACACTGAGCCATCTCTCCAGCACCTAGATTCTACTTTATAGTTCAACTTTTAAACTTTTTTATTTTTAAGTTTGTGAAGAGGCGTGTTTTTAATATTATATTTTATATGTATGGGTATTTTGCCTGCATATGAGAAAACCCAAGTCATGCAGTGGTCACAGAGGCCAGAAGAGGGCTTCAGATCCCTTGAACCTGGTGTTACAAAGAATTATTAGCTGCCATATAGATGCTGGGAATTGAACCCGGGTCCTCTGCAAAAGCAGCCAGTGCTCTAACTTCTGGGCCATCATTCCAGCTCCATATGTGTGTGCTTGTATGTGTGCAGGTATATGTTTGTGCATGTGTGGGGGGGAACAGAAGACGCTTAGGTGTCCTCCTCAAGAACTGTCCACCTCCTTACTTGAGGCAGGGTCTCTCTCGGGACTTGGTACTTGTTAGACTGGCTAGCCAGTAAGTCCCAGGGATTCATCTGTCTGCCTCAACAGTGTTGGGATTACCATGCTCAGTTTTTTACATGGGTGCTGGGGATCAGTCAGCTGGGTGAAGTAAGGTCTTTACCAACCAAACTATATTCCCATACCCTTTGTTTGATTATTTATTTATTCATTTATTTATTTTAAATAGCTTATTTTAAAACTTTTTTATGTTTATGAGTGTTTATTGCCTGCATGTATGTGTGTGTACCCATGTCATACAATGCCCAAGGAGGTTAGAAGAGGGATTCCCTGGAACTGGCGTTTCAGATGATTGTTAGCTGCCATGTGGGTGCTAGAAACCAAATCTCACCATGTAGTCTAGATTGGCCTGAGTCACACTAGTGTCAGGCCTTGGATTCATAGCAATCCAACTCTTTTAGCCTCCTGGTAGTAGACATGAGCCCTGGGGAACAGCCATTTCCTCCAATTGAAGCACTCCTTCCTTCTGGGAGGAGGGAGGCCAGTGAGACTTAGGAAGCTAAGGAAGATTTCAAGATGCACAAGACTTGAGATTATATAAGCAACAATTGCTGAGGGGAGGGGACTCTTCAGTGGAGTTGCCTGCAAGTTGTGCAGAGAGCTCCAGGGTTACAACTTTACTGAGTCATCGCCCATGCTGGGGTGGGCTTTTTGGTGATGCAGTTGCCTTTAAGTCATACATACTCCTGTAAGTAACCCTTCACCTATGCCTGTTCCTGTGAATAACTCCAATAAACTCGCTGGCTCACCAAACTGAACTTAGTGAAATGGTTCCTTTGGTTTCTGTCCTGGTGAGCTTTAACTGTCAACTTGACATAGCTTACAGTCATCTTGGAGTACAGCCTACACTGAGGAATTTTCTAGATCAAATTGTCCTGTGGGAAGTGTCTTGATTGCTAACTGATGCAGGAGGGCCCAGTGCACTGTGGGTGACACTATTCCCTAGGCAGGTGGTCCTGGGCTATATAAGAAAGCTAGCTGAAGTCAGGTATGGTGGTGTATGCCTTTAATTACAGCACTTGGGAGGCAGTGGCAGGTGGATCTCTGTAAGATGGAGGCCAGCCTGGTCCCCATAGCAAGTTCCAGGCCAGTCTCTACAGAGAGACCCTGTCTCGAAATGACCAAAGGGGAAAAGAAAAGCTGGCTTAGAGTAACAGCAAGCAGGCCTGCCTTTGAGCTTTGCCTTCAGGGCTTCCCTCAGTGATGGACTGCGATCTGAAGTAGAAGCCAAATAAACCCTTTCCTCCACTAAGTTGTTTTTGGCCATGGAGTTTGTCACAGCCACAGAAATGAAGCTAGAGAGTCTCGCCAGTGAACAGACATTCGTGCACGTCTCCCTAGGAAAAGTCATACAAGTCCGCGCCCAGTTTGAACTTCAGCTTTCACGTCCAGCTTCAGCAAGCATGTCCAGCTAGTTGGCTCACTTCAAACCCCATAATCCCCAAGTTGACATCATCTTTTCTGTTCTAAACCTTCTCTTCTCTGTTCTCTACACACCCCAGCTCCTAATTCCAAACTTTGGATGTTCGCCGCAGCTCTGCTGTCACTCAATGCTTCACGTGTCTGAAACTTGTTTCTCAGTGTGGCCTTGATGATGGACAGTGGGATTTTTAGGAGGTAGGGGATGTCTCTTGGTGGGTAGAGTGCTTGTCTGGCATGCATGAAGCTGAGGCTCCATCCCTAGCACTTCATAAACCAGGTGTTGTGGTCCATGCCTCTCATTCCAGTACTTGGGAGCTGGAGACAGAAGGATCAAGATTTCAAGGTAATCCTCATCTACATAGTGAGTTTGAGGGCAACCTAGGCTATGTGAGCTTCTGTCTCAAAAACAATAACAACAATAAATAAAAAGAGGTAGGGTCACTGGGTGTCCGCCCTCAGAAGGGATTAATATAGTTCTCATAGGATCTTGGGTGGTTCTGGCAAAAGCGTTGCTATAAAAGAAGACTGGTTCTTCCTAGTGCACACTGACTTTCTACCCATGATCTTTCTGCCATGGTACTATTATGCTCTGTGATTAGCACAGCAAAAAAGACCCTTACCAGAGACCTAATCAATGAGACTATGTGGTAACCGTAAAGTATCTTTGTCTTATAAAGTATCTAGTCTCAGGTATTTTGTCATTGCAACAAAATACAGACTGATACATTCTCTACCTAAAACAAGCCTTTGCTCCTATAGATTCTGTCTATTTGCTGTCTCAGGGTGTTGTCCCTTTCTCTTAGTTGTCTGCCTTAAGACATACCCCAGACAATATTTTCTTTGCTCAGCTTATGTTTAAATGCCTGGTTGCAACATTTCTCTGTTCCCAATATTTCCCTGCTCCACATCCCTCCATGGCTCCCCATTCTCTCCTAACAATTTCCTCAGGTTGGAATTTGATCCCTGATCAGAACCTTCTAGAATGGCATAAGAATAGGAACAGAAGTGACCCACACACCCCAGCCTGGGCAGGCCACTTGAGAAGACATGGGCTCCTGAGCCCCCTCCTCTCTCCAACTCCCACAGTGCCAAGCCAACTTTTCCTCTTCGTTTTCAAAACTGAATAGTCATAATTCAATTATTTAGAATTTTCTGGCACTTGGTCTTACCATCCATCCCATTGCTGTGCTCTGTTTACCCTCGGGTGTTTATATTTTGACGGTTTCTAGCCAGGCTTTGGGTAATGCAATGTTTTGATTGTTTTCCCCTTTCAGCCAGCACGTGTGTCCTCCCCTGTCCTCTGGCTTTGTCTCTTTGGACCCACTTTCCCGAGCCCGCATGTCTGGCAAACAGCTTCCTGGGTAACTTCTTCAAGAGATCATCTGGTTATCTTTAGACTGGGAGTGGGGCCGGAAATCACTCCACAGGGTCGCTGCGGCCACCACCAGCGCTTCTGCAAGCCATCTGGGCCCTGGGGGCAGAACAGTGCTCCTGAGTCTCTGCCCACCAAGACACATGCTAGCCTCCCCAAGAAGAGGTCTACCAGGATGCTCACTGCATGACTGTCTGCAAGCAAACCCTCTCAGCTCACCCACGGGTGCAGCATGAAGCTGTCTTCTGCAAGGAAACTAATATCAAACAGGACAGGACACCATACCACACATCAACAAGACCCTGGGCTTTTAATAGTTCATGGAGTATTCCCACATGTACAATACCATTGTGGTGACCCAGAGGAAGTCTGGGAGGTGGGTGTGATTGCGACCATCTTGCTTTTGGAAAATGTTTTATTTTTCCTGGTACTGGGGTTGCAACTCGGGGCATTATGTAGCCATGCAAGTGCTATACCATGACTAAGTGGTAGACTGCCTGCTTAGAATCCTCCAAGTAGGACCTGGGGATGTGGCTCAGTGATAGAACATCTGCCTAGAATCCCCCAGTGAGGGACTGGGGTGTGGCTAATGGTAGAGCACCTGCCTAGAATCCCCCAGTGAGGGGCTGGGGCATGACTCAATAGTAGAGTATCTGTCTAGAATCCCCCAGTGGGGGCTGGGTATGGCTCAGGGGTAGAGCACCTGTCTAGAGCCCCCCAGTGAGGGGCTGGGGCATGTCTCAGTGGTAGAGTACAACTAAGTGTGCATGGTGAATGCT